TCAGGCTGGTATTGTGGATGCAGGATTCATTCTTATATTGAATGAAAGTTTCCAAAGCTTCATCCTTGGTTCGAATTAAATAAACATAACTATATCTAATATAATAATCTATGACAGTGATAAAATATTCTTTTCCACCTCTGGTTTGAATTGATTTAAAATCACAAATGTCACTATGAATTAATTCAAGTGGTTCTGTACTTCTTTCAATTGAATGAAAAAGAGTTTTTGATAATTTTGCCTCAACACAAATTTCACATTTGTGATTTGAATCAATTGCAAATTTAGGTAAACATTTCATATTAATTAATCTACGCAAAGATCCATAATTAACATGTCCTAGTCTACCATGCCATAAATTTGAAGACTCAAGAAAATAAGAATAAGATGTATTATTATTAATAACTGAGGGTACAATGGTTATTAAATTTAACTTGAAAAGGCCATCAGACATGTAACATTTTCCTACATACATCCCATTCTTAGTAAGTACAAATTTATCACTCTCAAATACTAGCCTAAACCCATTCTTACTCAACAAAGATCCGGAAACAAGATTCTTGCGAATGTCCGGTACATGCAGCACATTATTGAGAGTGAGTTCCTTTCCTGATGTCATCTTGAGAACAATCTTTCCTCTCCTTCAACTTTGGAAGTTGAGGAGTTGCCCATAAAATGTTGTTCACCATTGTCCACTGTAGAATAAGATGTGAACATCTTTTTGTCGGCACAAATATGGCGAGTAGCACCAGTGTCCACCCACCATTCTTTTTGGATTTCCGACAAGATTTGCCTCGGAAATAACTGCAGAAAGATTGATGTCATCGACACCATTGGAAATATTGTCCACTTCGGTCATATTGGCTTGAGCAGGCTTCTTGCTTGTTCTCTTTTTGCTTTTGCCTTTGCTACGACAATCTTTGGCCCGATATCCCTCTTTGTCACAAATGTAACATTTGCCATTAAATTTGTACTTTTTATTTCCCCTCCCCCCCCCCTTTAGAGCCTTGTGATGAACTTTCTCCAGAAGACTTTCATTTCTTGGTTTTTTAAGCATGTTCCACCACATTGGCCTTAGACTCCATAGGAAGCTTACCAGCCCGCTTTTCAGAATTGCAGTTGTCCTCCTCAATCCTTAAACACACAATTAACTCGTCCATAGAAATTTCTTTGTGCTTGTGTTTGAGGTAGTTCTTGAATTCCTTCCAGCCTTTTGGTAATTTTTCAATTAAGGCTGCAACTTGGAAGGATTCACTGTGAGACATGCCTTCTGCGTGAATGTCATGCAGAATGAGTTGGAAATCTTGAGCTTGGCTAATCACAGTTTTTGAATCAACAATTACAAAATCCAGGAATCTGCCAAGCACAAATTTCTTTGATCCGGCATCTTCCGTTTTGTACTTTTTCTCCAACGATTCCCAAAGTTCCTTTGCTGTCTTGATTGGACTGTAGACGTTGTATAATGTGTTGTCAAGTCCGTTCAAGATGTAGTTCCGGCAAAGGAAATCGGCATGCTTCCAAGCATCAACCGCAGCAACCACTTGCCTGTCGGTTTCATCCTCTTTCAGGATAGGAGCATCTTCACGGAGGAAACGAGCCAGGTTCAGAGTTGTAAGATAGAACAACATTTTCTGTTGCCATCTTTTAAAGTCAGTTCCTGAGAACTTCTCTAGCTTCTCTCTATGATTTATTGGTACTGTCATCACAAGAGAGGGGGTTGGTGCAATCGCAGCCACCACTGTAGTACTTGTTTGGGCATTAGTTTCAGTAGCCATCAATTCTAATTTATAAAACAAATTTATAATTAGAATTTATTATCTCAGATAATCTGCAGGAACAAAGGCCATTACCTTTGTGGACCACTGAATACAGGAATTTGGGCATTCATTATCCAAACACAAATCACTCAACAAGAATATAGACCAAAGGAAACTTAAAAGGAAAAGGCAAAGGCCCGCATTTCCCTGACAGACATTAACCACATTTGTGAATTACCTGTGTCAAATACTCAATACTTAGGCATGCTTAGTTAGACACACACTCTTTGATGCCTAGGTAGTCAAGTTTCCTACATAACTATGCATAAGACTCCCATTTTATCCACAAAATGTTAAATATTAGTTTGTAAACACCACTTTGCCCTAACAAGATAAAAGCAGTACTCAAGAAATATGAAATGTAGTTGTGTCCTAGTGTCCTTACACATGAAAATTAAATGAACCCAACATTTAGACACATCTGCACCCAACACCCATCCAAGTCGATGTAATATAGGTTGGGTTGGGACCATGTTTTTCGACTTTTAGCATTATAGCAATGCATCAGTCATACAAAATGTATTTTGACTATTTATACAGTAATAATTGTGTAAAGGAGAATGTATTGAAAAGACTACATTAACAGCATCCTGCCAAAACCAAGAGAAAAATGCAATGAAGGAACTTGAACGGAGGTTAAGAGCCAAAAGCAAGAAAAAGTAGACAAATTAAAATATGCAATCTATATCATAACAGGTAAAGTGATTGAGAAACATATTTATTTTCCAAATAAATCAGTATAAAATATGTTCTCTCATAGAAGAGAGAATACTTACCTTCCCATTCATCTCATATGCAAGTAAAACATCAGCGCCAGGGTTAGTGGCCTGAGACAATGGAATTGATGCCTTATACGGGCCCCCATTCTCCTCCTGCACTTTTGAGAATATTCAAATCAAGTGAAATTCAACCACTAAACAATGAAGGACAGCACCCAAAAATAAAAATAAAAAATTTCTCAAAACAAGACTTGAAAGTTCCATTACCTTACACTTATCAATGCTGACAAATTCAACATGCTTTCCACCTGATGGTGTAGCACTTGTCAACTTTGGTATCCCAACAAGTTCTAGAACATCTGCCAATTTAGCCCCACCCCAGACAGCTGACAGGAATTTGCGGAAGACAAGTTAAACATAGATAGTGGAGGTGTGTGGGAAAATCAGGTACTTAATTTAACAATGAGTTCAAGCACCCTCATAACACAAAAACAAACAAATGAAAATAAAGTGGAAAATGAAGTCTAGCAGCCAGATTTTAGTGGTTGTACTAGTCAGTTTTGGGTGTGTTTAACCCCTGCTGCCTTATTCCAATGGATGATATCAAAATTCTAAGCCTTCTGTTAAGATGCCAGACTGGGAGTAACCACATTAATGCATTAACTTTATCCTTCCATTATCACTAGATTAAATTTGCTGTCACAAGAGAGTAAAAATTGTAAATTATCCATGATGCTAACCATTTCCTAGAGCAGCAACATCCCAGCCAACACCTTTCATTTACTCCTGGATTACTCGTATATCTACTTAATTTACTTACTGCATAAGCTATATCCGGGCGAGTGCAGTTCATCAAGTACATTAAGTTTTCAATAATTTGGGCATACTCTAATTGAGAAATATTTTCCTGTACATTCTTAGAAAGATACAAATTAACATCTACAGGTGTTCTAGCAAGATGATCATCATCTTTGCTGAATTTGACAAGTATTTTCTCAATGTAATGAGATTGTGACAAAGCATATCCTTCTGATGTTTTGGTAATTTTCATACCAAGAATTACATCAGCAATGCCCATGTCCTTCATGTCAAAATGTTTATTCAACATTTTCTTGGTAGTTTTAATCATATCATTATTACTACCTATGATGGGCATATCATCTACATAAAGACATACAATGACATAACCTTTGTCTATGTTTATAATATAAACACATTTGTCACACTCATTAATCTTAAATCCATTTGACATCATTGCCTTGTCAAATTTCTCATGCCATTGCTTTGGCCCTTGTTTTAAACCATATAATGATTTAACCAATTTACACACTTTCTTTTCTTTTCCTGGAACAGAAAAACCTTTTGATTGTTCCATGTAAATTTCTTCATTTAACTCACCATTTAAGAAAGCAGTTTCCACATCCATTTGATGAATTTCTAGATTGTATAGAGATGCAATGGCAATTAGCATTCTAATGGATGTTATTCTAGTAACCGGTGAGTATGTGTCAAAGTAATCAAGACCTTCTCTTTGTCTAAAACCTTTGACCACAATTCTTGCCTTGTATTTGTCAATTGATCCATCTGCTTTCATTTTCCTTTTGAAAATCCACTTGTACCCAAGAGGTTTACACCCTGGTGGCAAGTCCACTAATTCCCAAGTGTGATTTTGCAATATGGATTCAACTTCACTTTTGGCAGTTTCTTTCCATATAGGAGCTTCAGGACTGAACATAGCCTCTTTAAAAGTTAAAGGCTCATTTTCTAACAAATATGTTAGAAAATCTGGACCAAAAGATTTTGAGGTTCTAGCGCATTTACTACGCCTAGGTTCTTCTTCCTCATTTTGGTCTAACTCTTGCTCTTGTTCTTGATCATGTTCTTGATCATGTTCTTGATCTTGACTAGTAATAGCATCATGAGATCTTTTATTGTTACTAGTCTCTTGTCCAGCCTTATTTGGAAATACATGTTCAAAGAATGATGCATTCCGAGACTCAATAATAGTATTTACATGCATTTCGGTATGTTCTGATTTATAAATCAAAAACCGATATGCACTACTATTCTTGGCATAACCAATGAAAATGCAATCAATGGTCTTCGGCCCTATCTTAGTCTTTTTAGGACTAAGAATAGCCACTTTAGCCAAACACCCCCACACTTTTAAGTATTTGTAGGATGGCACTCTTCCATACCACAATTCATAAGGTGTTTGATTCACTTTCTTTTGGGGTACTTTATTAAATATATAATTAGCAGAAAATATTGCTTCCCCCCACAAGTTCTGAGGTAAATCAGAATTATTAACATGTTATAATTTTTTTTTAAGCTTTTTTCCTTATCAGGCAATTCCATTTTTGGCTGAGGTGAGTAAGGAGGGTGGTTGTGAATATTCATGTTTTTTACAAATTCCTCAAAGGTGATTCATATTCACCACTTATCCTTATAAGTTTTTGATTTGTTTTACAAGTTGATTTTCACTTATTTATATTGATGAAAAGATTTCAAGCTCATCTTTGTTCGAATTAAAATAACATAATATATTAGTAATATCATCTATAAAAAGTTGATAAAATACTTTTTCGCCACCTCTAGTTTGAATTGATTTAAATCAAAATGTTCACTATGTAATAATCAAGTGGTTCTGTACTTCTTTCAATTGAATGAAAAAGAGTTTTTGATAATTTTGGCCTAACACAAATTTCACATTTTGTGATTTGAATCAATTGCAAATTTTAGGGTAAACCATTTCATATTAATTAATCTACGAAGTCCATAATTACATGTTATGTTACGCATGCATAAATTTGAAGACTCAAGAAAATAGAATAAGATGTATTATTATTAATCAACTGAGGGTATGGTTATTAAATTTAATTGAAAAGGCATCAGACATGTAAATTTTCCATAACATACATCATTTCTTAGTAAGTCAAATTTATCAACTCTCAAATACTAGCTAAACCCATTTTTATCAACAAAGATCCGGAAACAAGATTCTTGCGAATGTTCGTATGCGCACATATATTGAGAGTGAGTTTCTTTTGATCGTCATCTTGAGACATATTTCTCTCTCCTTCAAACTTTGGAAGTTGAGGAGTTTGCCATCAAAATGGTTGTTCAACCATTGTCCCTGTAGAATAAGATGTGAACATTTTTTGTGGGCACAAAATACTGGGAGTAGCACAGTTGGTCCACCACCATTCTTTTGATTCCCGAAAGATTTGCTGGAAATAACTGGCAGAAGATTGGATGTCATCGCACACATTGGAATAATTGTCCACTTACGGTCATATTGGCTTGAGCAGGCTTTCTTGCTTGTTTCTCTTTTGTTTTGCCTTTGCTACGCACAATCTTTGGCGATTCTCTTTTGTCAAAATGTAATTTGCCATAATTTGTACTTTTTATTTTCCCTCGCCCCCTTTAGAGCCTTGTGATGAATTTTCTCCAGAAGACTTTATTCTTGTTTTTTTAAAGCCATAGTTCCACAATTGGCCTTAGACTCCCATAGGAAGCTTACAGCCCGCTTTTCAGAATTGCCGTTGTACTCTCAATCCTTAAACCAAATTACTCGTCCATAGAAATTTTCTTGTGCTTGTGTTTGAGGTAGTCTCTTGATTCTTCAAGCCCTTTTGGTATTTTTCAATTAAGGCTGCAATTGAAGGAATTCATACTGTGAGACATGCTTTGGTGAATGTCATGCAGATTGAGTTGCGAAAATCTTGAGGCTTGGCTATATCAGTTTTTGAATCAACAATTACATCAGGAAATCTGCAAAGCAAAATTTCTTTCGACTCCGGCATTTCCGTTTTCGGTACTTTTTCTCCAACGATTCCAAGTTCCTTTGCTGTTTATTGGACTGTGACGTTGTATAGTGTGTTTGTCAAGGTCGTTAAGATGTAGTTCGCGCAAAGGAAATTCGGCATGTTTCAAGCATTAACGCAGGTCAACCTTGCCGTCGGTTCCCCCCCCCCCCCCCCCCCCTCATCCTTTTCAGGACGGAGCATTTCACGGAGGAACCGAGCCGGTGGGTAGAGCTTCGTAAGATAGAACATATTTTCGGTTGCATCTTTTAAAAGTCAGTTCTGCGAACTTTTCTGGCTTCTTCATGATTTATTGGTACTGTCACAGAGAGAGGGTTGGTGGCAATTTGAAGCCACACAGTGAGTTTTATTTGACATTAGTTTCAGTAGCATCACTTGTATTTATAAACAAAATTTAGATTAGAATTTACACTAGCAAGAAATAAAACCAATACCAGATATTAAATTCTGTAAAAATAAAGAAAAAGAATGTGCTTTTATTTTAATTAAGTTGGCAAATAAAATAAATTTTATTCACCAATTAATTCACAAACAGTGAATTAAATTCTGTAAAAAAGAAGAAGAAGAATTTAACCTTTTATTTTTCAAATTATTTGGATAATAAAATAAATTTTTTTAACCAAACTAATTCCACACAGAAATTAAATTATAGCGCCCGGTCTTTCTCCTTTTGTGGTTGTTGTTATCGGCTTAGGTTCCGTGGATTCTCTCAATGTATAATTGTGGTTGTCATCTTTATTTCTCTTTTTGAGTTATGGATTGTTGGTCAAGTTTGTTTTAGATTGGTTGGCGTTTGGAAACCAGGGTGGTTACTGTCCAGATTTGGATTGGTCGCTCGAGCGGAAGTTGCGTCGGGTCGAGCGAGCGGTTGGGTTTTTGTGTTGGTGGCATCGAGCAAGGGTTTCTTTCGCTCGAGCGAGAGTTTGCGGTCGTAGTGTTAGGACTGAGGAGCAGTGTTTCTTAGTGTTTTGCCGAGAGTTTCTTCGCTCGAGCGCAGGCTTTCCTGTGTCTGGTCGTCGGCGACAAGTCTTGCTGAGCGACGCCTATCGTTTAAATAGGCAGCAGCGGGTTCTTGATCAGTCTTTTCATCCTCTTCTAATTTCCAAACCCTAGGTCCGACTTCTCTCTCTCTAAACTCAGTCTTCTTTCTTAGGTTTTCATCTACTTTAGTGTGAATCCATTTAAGGTTCTTTGTAAGAAGATAAGAGGGCCGGGCTTGGGCCCTGCATTCTAATTGAAAATAGTGGATTTTGGGCACTTGCTTTGAGGGTCATTTCTCATTTTTGTTTTCGTTCAAGGTAGGGATTCTCTTGTTTGCTCTTTTCAATCTTCGGTTATAGATAGGAATGTGGTATGTTTTTGTATTGCATAAAAGGGGATGTGTATCATGCTTGGTAGTTGTGAAAATCATTGGGACTTGAACCTGGGGTTGGGTTGTTGATTTGGGTTATTAATCATTTAGTTGTTGTGTTTGGGATATTGGAGTGTTAATTAGCATGTAGTTGTTGAAAGGAGAGGAAACCTAATTTGTTTTCATTTGTTTATAAATTAATTGGGGGTTTTATGCTTGGGAATACTTAGGTATTTTGAGTCTTATTGTGGTTATTGTTTGTTTGTTGATGTTAATTGGCCTTTTTGGGTCAATTTGAGAAAGAGGAAGAGAAAGACCTAAATTATTGTTATGACTTAATGTGCATAATTAGTTTTGAAATGGCTTTGAAAAGAATGTTAGCCAATTTAATGAAAAGTATGGCTTTTGTCCATGGATGATTTTTGTGAAACAAGGAAGTAAGATATTCATTTTGTGAAATGGGGAAAGGTATTTTGAACCAGTTAATAAAATTGGAATGTTGTATCTTGAGTATGAACAATTGTGTGGGGTATAGGTTTCTTAACTCATGTTTCATTGTGGTTGCTGAGTTTTGTTAATTATGTTAGTTGGGTCTGTTAGTA